TTCAACCTCTTTTTACGTCTTTAAAACACCGAAAGATTGTGATCTTAGGTTTGTCTTGTGATATTTGACTTTTCAGGTATCTGGTCTCTGACCAGTGTGCCTTGGTTGCCCTTTTTTTCTCCCCCATAATTTCCTTTTCATGTTTTACAAAGAACAAGTATGGATTTCAAACCAAGTTCCTTGTATGAAGGAGTGGTGTGATAGGCATGACAGAAAAAATTGTAATTGAATGAGACCATATACTGAATTGATTACACATATTTCTTGTGCCGAAGTTGTAATTAGCGTAATTAAGTTCTTGATTATAAGTATTCACTGAACATTTCTTTATTTAGAGAGAGATTTATCGCATCAGAAATATAGATCACACCATGACAGCCTATGCCTTCTTTCCAAATAACAAAGTTATGGGCAGAAGACTGGTGGCACAGGAATTTTTAGCAGTATATTTAATGACGTAAAACGGGCATATAAAAATTCTTGCCGCTGATTCATACGTGCTCTTTTGCTGCTCTAGCCGTCAAACGCATCATCATACAACCGATCGCGGAAACGCTAATCTACAAGGCTTTCATTGTCTCAGAACATTCATAGACAGACGTTCGTGGCGATACCAAGCACGGTTCCAAGCACGTATAAATCGCATCACACATGTCTAAATTGCATCACAAAAGCTTATTAACAGCACTCCATATGACCGTGGAGTGCACGGCCGCGTGGAGAGTGCAACCGGCGCGTAATGCACTTGCCGGCGGCATTCGGTGACGATGCGCAAAATGTGTAATTATGATGACAAAAAATCGGCGCGCACTACGCTTGACATCACATTTTCGAGTGACGACGCGTGAAACTGCTGGCCGCTGCTCCGAGCAATCCTAGGCAGAGAAGAGGGGAGGGGTGCCGAGCTTGAGTATGCGGTCCACTGCCGATCCTTAAAATGCCGTTACGTAGTTCAGAGGAGCTAGCGAGTGATGTGCTTTATTTCTTGCGAAGAAGAACGTCGCCAAGAGTGCGCTAGCGCGTCGTTCCTGCCCGCCGTCTCCCTATCAGCGGAGTTAGGGCTAAAGACGACTCCGATGACGCGCCGCGCGCCCGCTCAAAGTCTGATCGAGCATCCGGTGCGGCCACTCGTAGTAATCAGATCGTGCCGCCGCTTACAGCTTCGTTGCTTGCGAAGAAGCTTGTCGCCACGAATGCGCTAGCACTGCGTTCCTGCCCGCAGTCTCGCTGTCGGCAAAGTTAGGGCTAAAGACGACTCCGATGACGCGCGGTGCTCGTAGACTGCGCTCCCGCTCATAGTAAGCTGATCGCGCATCCGCTTACTGCTCGTAACTAAAGCGTAGTTATATCTTAAATGATTATCAAGCCGTGAACACGTCACGAAGTGGCGATTTTCGAGAGCCATGTCCTTGCGACGCACAAGCAGCAGACGATGTCCCGGAGCGAGCATCGGGCCAATGGCGAGGCGAGCTGAGGCAACATGGCGGCCACGGCCAATCAAGGGCCTCAAAACGACCTTCAAACATTTGCCTTTTGCTCGCTTGTTGTTAAAGGGAGGAGCCAGCTGAGGCGTGAAAGTTAAACACGGAGAAATGCTCTTTCCGATGAGCCCAAGAAGCCGGCTCCCGGCCCAAGCATCGCGAAGCTATAATTTTTTGAAAATCGCCGTTTTCTTGCCATTTCCAGAAAAAGTTTTGCTACCTAGGTGGGTGAAACGAATTTTCCGAAGCACTTCTGCGCGGTTTTCAGTGTAGATATTCTGGAACCAGATAGAAAAAGGGTTCCAGAAACTGAAAACTTGAGTTTCAAAAAATCGATTTTTTTGCCATTTTTCGCGATCCCAAAGTCGCGTCCCCCCTTAAGCTGGAGAATGGGGTTCTCTACCGCCACGTCTATCACCCTGACGGTCAGCGCTGGGTTCCTGTACTGCCACGCTCTCTTCGACTTCAGGTGCTCGAAGCCTTCCACGACGACTTGACTGCTGGTCATCTTGGTTTTAAAAAACTCTTAACTGCATTCGATGTCGTCATTACTGGCCTGGCCTATCTTCTAGTGTAGCGCGGTACGTCGGCTCCTGCTACCCATGCCAGCGTCGTAAACTCCCCGCGTCTGCACCTGCTGGACCTCTACAGCCACTTCCTTGCCCTTCAATGCTGTTCGAGGTTGTAGGTGTTGACCTTTACGGGCCTCTCCCCGTCACATCTGCTGGCAAACGATGGATAGTGACCGCCGTGGACCACCTGACACGCTACGCTGAGACTTCCTCTGTTATTACAGGCTCAGCTGTGGAAGTTGCAGACTTTATTCTTCACGCAATAATACTGCGTCATGGGGCTCCTCGTGTACTGCTTAGTGACCGCGGCAAAGTGTTCCTGTCACAAATGGTAAATGAAGTACTGCGCGCTTCTGGAACTACTCACAAGACAGCTTCAAGCTACCACCCTCAGACAAATGGTCTCACAGAAAGATTTCACCGAACCCTTGCTGACATGATAGCCGTTTACGTCCAACCCGACCACAAAAACTGGGATACTCTTATACCATTCCTGACATTTGCTTACAACACCGCCGTTCAGCGAACAGCTTGCTACTCACCGTTTTACCTCGTGTACGGACGCACCCCGACTACCTTTCTCGACGTCTCCTTCTTTAACAGCCATGGGAATTCATGTCAGTCTTCTAGCGAAGAATACATTTCCCGCCAGACCCAGTCTCGCCATCAGGCTCGCATCAATACTTAAGCGAGACAGCACGAGCGGAAGATCATCTATGATGAATCCCACCGCGTTGTGTCTTTCCAACCTGGTGACGAGGTGCTGCTTTTGACACCTATTCGCACTCCTGGTCTTTGTGACAAATTTTAACCACGCTTCATCGGGCCATACATAGTTTTAAACAAACTTCGCCAGTTAATTATCGTGTCACACCACTCGTCGCCCCAACAGACCGCCGCTACCCCAGCACAGAGATTGTCCACATTTGTCGCATGAAACCTTTCATGCGACGTGCCCCGTCACTTTGACTTACGGCGGCCAGGGTGTCCGCTTCCAAGTGGGGGGAATTCGTGTGGGCATTTGTTACTTACATCGTCATCATCCCTGCATGATCACAATCACCATCATAAGCTTGTCTCTTTGTCCTCGTTGCCACTCTGGGTCATCATCGTCATCGTCTGTGTAGTGGCTCTGCCCGTTCGTTTTGCGAGGTCTTTTCTCAAATAATAATAATAATAATATATATATATATATATATATATATATATATATATATATATATATATATATATCACGTAGCTGTGTGAAAAAAATTGTGAGGGAGGAAATAGGGGGGAGAGGACAAGATGCAAGTTAAAGAATATTGAATTATGAATTTTCTCATTTTATTTTCCGGGTGGACATTTCTGGTAGCTATGATCCACATCTGTCACCTGGAATGCGTAACCATGGACTACAGGATATGCACAGGGGTGGAAGCGGCACCAGCTTTTAGGAGAAGCTCAGGGAGAACGGATAATGCTGTTTTGTAGCAGCAGCTTTGAGCCGGTAAAAGAAGAGTTTAGAAGCAAATTTGGAGCATTAAAGGGAGAGCTTCAGAAGAATGCAAGTTAGTTTTGGAGCGAATTTTCGAGTTCATGCATCGCCACAGTTTCAATTTTTTTACTTCTGGGAAGCATGAAGAATTACACTAGTTTTTAGTAAACATTCAATGCTGATGAACCAACCAGACTTGCAAAGAAATAATATGTATGTGTATGTCACAGCTGACAGAGATATAGCCCAGAGAAAAGATTAGCAATGCTTTTCATACACTTGACTGAAGACTAAAGTTAATCTGATGAATGTTACTTTCATTATAGAAACAATGAGACTATGAAAAAAATAATAACGTAAACATTTTATGCTAAGGTCATCAGACCGCCACAGCAGAGATGAGAACAGAGAGGAGAACATAGATAAGCAGAGCAATGCGTAGTTAAACACACTGTAGAGAATGTGTTGAAAAATTCTCGCATTGACAAAACACAACTGCTGACATGACCGTTTGAGAGGACAAGAACACTCTTATCTTGGCGGACATCGGCGAATCGCCTGCGGACATCATGCTGATATTACAGAGTAGTAAAACTGCTTCACTCCATAAAAGCACCATATTTTCTGACATATTTCATCATAGATCTACACACTGTTGGATACAAAAGAGCTGATAGCATTACTTCATATAACATTCCAATCTGTAGTTGCTACATTCATTGTTTCGCCCTGGCAGCGAAACTTAGATTGTTTTGCACAGTCACCATGTCACAGAAAGCCCATCAGGTGATGATGATAACGATGATAGGAGCTCGCGTTGGCACGCCACGTTGCGGAGGACGATACATGAAGGCACCAAAGACCACGTGGGAATAGTTTCGGAGCAGTAATGCGTTTTGAGCAGGATCTACCTAGTGAAATTCATCGAAAGCAGGTTTGGAAATATCAAAATACTTCATACATTGAACGATTTCCGAGATATCATACTGTTTGGTTGGCTGTAGCGAGCTTTGTAGCACATTTTCGGTGCAGAGTAAAGCAAAATTATTTGAGCAAGCGAAAATATTTCCCAGAGTGATTGCATGAGAATACCCGTGAGTATAAAAAGATTGTGTATGAGCTATTTCAATATTTTTAAGTAACATTTTCGTTACTTCAATCATGAATTGAACTCGCAAACTTGTGCCGAGTGGCAGGACAACTTAGGCACTGAGCTGCCTAGGAGTCCATGCTGAACAACAAAAGGACAAAATACAGTAGACTTTCATGGAACGGAACCTGAAGGGACCAGGAAAATATGTTCTGTTTAACAGGAGTTCTGTTTACTCAAGGATGACCAGGAGTGCAGAATGCAAAAACTAAATCAATTAGGTCAGACGTACTTGTAACATCTAAGCAGCAGTTCAGTTTAACCGATTCCTATTTACTGAGAGTACAGTATATGCTCGAAATGAAGAAAAAATAGAGTACCTCGAATGGATCCTCAATTTTCTTGATTTGCACAGGCACACAATCTTCAGCTTGAACCCTGAGATCCCTGTTTCTGTCACCACCGGGACCCTTTCCTTGAGAGCTGAAGTAGTAGACATGGTACTCCTCCCCAGCCGTCACTCTATCGTCCCCTTTAACATCCATGTTACAGTTCCTAAAAAAAGAACAAAAGCATTGCATTACAACAACACGAAAAAAAAATTATGAGGATCTAATATTTTTAGGACAAAATATTACAACCAAAATGCGCTCTGAAAACAGGATATGAATAAAAAAGTAAATTTAGTAGCCTTCCATTTATTCCAATAGCAGTTTATTCATCTCTTGATTAATTCGATTGTATTGAAAGACCTTACACACAGCTTTATATTTTTATCAGAACAAACACTCCTTATTCAGACACTTAAATTGTTTTCCAGCATTTAATTAAAGGGACACGAAAGGCAAATAACGATTTACCTTGGAGTGAAAGGTCAATGTTTGAGAGCATTTAAAATGCCAATATTATCAACAGCAGTGCACTACTTAATCGAGAAATTAAGGTAAATGCACATCGCAAGTGCTACATGTGGGACATTTCAAAATAATACCAATACGTCAAGAGTCATAACTACAATAACCACTAGTAATCAAACCAGTCGCAACAAAAAAAGAATCTTCCGGTATAAAAACATCAACTAAAATGCCCCTTGTCTGTTTTCTGTTTGATTCATAAAAAAAGAACTGCTTGGTGTTACTAGGACGAATGCGGTGAGTAGTAAAAAGTTCAGTTTTTACTTGGTTAGACTGTATATGTGGTATCATCTCAAAGGGCCCATTTGAACCAAAGAGGCACAAAATTTTTATAGCAGAGACATCATGCATTTGACTTCAGGTGTGAATGCCTTGAAGCAGTGTAATTACAAGTAAGTCGCCTTTTAAAAATAATTTGTTTCCTAAAAAACGCTAGGCAAATACAAATGTGTCAGTGACTGTGATTACACAATGTGTCGCAAAATGTCAACACCATCGTCCAGTAATTCTGTATTCCAACAAACCTTTTTGTATCCCGAGATACTGTGCCCACGCAAAACTTCGTTTATGAATAAGCTGCTGTGGTGATTTAAACTTATCTAAATTAAATATAGTTAACTGTAGTTACCATCTCCATTCAGTGGTTAGCGCAAACTTCAAGCAAATGTTTATGTATTTACATGAACGTTTATGCATGGGGTGCAAAAACTTTGCAAAGACATGCGTTCCGGTAATACTGTGAACGCAATCTGGTATTATGGTAACACGTTAACATTAAAAAGTATACATACAAGCTAAAAGCCCCGTGTAAATGTGATGTTGTCGAATACACCTTTCAGAAAGAAAAAAAGACGTCAAGAAAGAAGCCGACGTGACTTTCCACTTGGTGACATATCTCTGCTCCAGCCATGCCTTGTCAGATTCACTGACGACGTATATCGTGGAAAGTTTCAATGGCTGTTGTTGCCGCTCTGGCTCCTACTATTTTGCTCTTCTGATACTCGTGTCAGCGGACAGGCAGTAAAGGCGGGCAATTTGTAATATTGCATTTGTAATATTCGTATTCAATTCACTAATTACATATTCAAAAACTTGAATATTCGAACCAACACGAATACAAATGGCATATTCGGTCGCAATGTGAACAACTTACGATTTTGCACATTTGCGATAAAAGCATCAATAGTAGATCATGCAGTGATTACTACAACTTCAGTGCTGGTACAATGATGCCTGCACGTCATCGCCTACAAAATGATTACATTTCAACCAATCTAAATCGTGTACCGCCTGCTCCGCAGTACGCGTAACTTAGCAGTTTATAGTGCTGTTACTGTTCATGTAAGCGTATCGACCACGCCGTCTACTGCCGTACCCTTGTGCGTAGGACCACCTCAATAAAATGCACACCGCTCGTGGAAACGTAGGCAACTCACCACCGCCGTACTGGCTCGACAAAATAGTCATTGCACCTTCGCTTGGTCCCGTGCTGAGTGAACACGGGAAAAAAAGGAAAAAAAAACTGGGCAAGGGCAAATGCACGGGTACATTACAGGGAGTGGTGCTAAAGTGAGCTTAGTAACTGATCCACTGCACGCAACTAGATAGAGGCACGCTCAGCTTGACGTACAATGGTAGCGCGTTTCATGTGTAGCCGCGGCAGTTTTCACTAATGAATCGCCATACAAAGGTATGTGCATGCGTCGAGGCCTGACGAGTCATATGCCAGCTGTGCTACAAGTTAAAAACATGTATTCTCTTTATAGTTAAGAAATGTCATGGTAGCACATATATATGGTCATGCGAATGAGCTGGAGTGTTTTACCCACAACGGCAAACAAAGTAAGAAACAAACAAAGAAAGGCCCATGCACTTTTTGGTAACATTACAATGTGGTCATCACATATAGATCTCTGTTGCAACAGCAACGCATGTCAGGTGACAGACGGAAATTTGTGACAGTTAACGTGTAGTTCCGCTGCGTTCCCTACCGCGCCTTTGGGAATCCCCTGTACGTGCATCGCAGTCGTGTGGCAGGGTCTCCTGCAAACAATCCTCCATAACCCCCATTTATGCAATCTCGTTCTTTTGTCAATGCCAGTTTACTGCCGTCGGCAGCCATTGCGCCAAATGGGGTCACGATACGGTAAAATAGTGCCCTCGCTGCAGGGAGTTGTGGCTCTGTTAGTAAAAAGGCATAGTTGGAGCGTCTTTCTATCACACATCAGTAATTATCTATTTAGTGCGCTTATCCAATGCGGCTTTTAAAAAATATTTTGGTTTACATGCAATAGAACATTTCATTTGGACTTAAATTAGCTTGCTAAATAAGTATAAAACAATCTAAATGTATAGTATAGCTATATTTCACGATAAAATTAACATCATCCTTGTGTGTCCCATGGTGCCATGCTTCATCGTATGGGCGTAATGGCGATTCCCAGGCTTCAAAAGTACACCAGGCCTGCGTGGAAGGCGCAACACAGTCACAGCGAAAGCTAGAAGAGCGGCCTTTCAGTGCCTTTTCTAAACACTCATTGGGTAACTGCTGCAAGCACACTTGCTTGATGCCCACTACATCATTAATAATAAAGATTTTAGGGTAGTAGGCCGGCATTCACTATGCTATTTTTCGTCATTCTTCTGAGAAGCGTAGTATCCGCTAAACTATTGCAAAGAATTCTGTGCCAATTGTTCATGCAGTGGCTCACGACGATGAAGAATTATGCCTAAAGTGGGTATGCGCCACAGTTTATAGCTGAACAAAAACAAGCTTTTGTAATAGCTTGGAGCATTGGACGACCCACTCATTACGCTATTCGCATTGTGCGATGGCTGCTTGTTCTTACGCTGTTTTAGAACGCTTTATAAATCGTATTAACGCGATTGCTTTCCCGAAATGAAGCCTGCCTAAGTCAAGTTTGCCAACAAGTCCCAAGCACCAACGTGGCTCAGTGGTAGAGTACTGGGCTGGCACCCAGCGAACCCGGATTCGAGCCCCACTGTGTCATTGGTGCTAGTTTTTTTTTTTTTTTTTTCTAAATTTGTGCGATGTGGTTACGGTCACTAGCGGCGGCGGGCAACTGCTCGTGACCCGAGTTGTGATCTCATAACAGCTTTCGCTGTAAAACGAGTGGTCTTTCCTGGCAAAAGAAACGCTGTTTTTGACTGTCAGCAGTATCTTACCAATGGAATTTATAGAATACCTTGAAAAGTCCTTCAGCTTTTGTTCCTTCTAGCTCGTTTTATGCTGAAGCCTTTCTGATCCCTTCTTCAAGGAATAGTCTTTTATTTAAAATACAGTAGATTATCATTAAATGAAACCTGAAGGAACAAGTAAAATGTGTTCCATATAACAGGAGTTCCATTTACTGAGAGATAGATGAATAGGGGTGCACAATGCAAGAACGAAACCAATCTTGTCAGAAGCATTTGTTCCATTTTGGCAGTTGTCCTGTTAAACAGATTTCCGTTTACTAATAGTCTACTGCATACTGTGTCGGAGTGAAAAGAGGCCATGATACTCTACCGCTAAAATTGAAAGTAGGCACTTAAGGGGAAAAAAGAAGCAGGAAAGTCGACCTCTTACTCTTTGTAATCGAGTTGTATTCTAGAACATTATGTTCTTCAATAAGTGCCAACTAACCCTAAAAAAATAATTTTGGAACGTAAGAACCCAAGCAAAGCTACTAGGACACGAACAAAACATTGCATGAGACTATGTTGGTTATTTTGTTTCGGTCACAAACGTTGGCACAGTGCTGGTTTAATAAATGTGGCTCAGTTTGATTGAAACAGATGTAATATTTAGCTCATTTTCATTATGAAACTGCCTTTCCGAGTTCACATTACAATCTATAATTGCACCATTTTGATTTCAACTGTGTTAGAAGTTGAATATACTTAGGCGTGCTTTACACTCCCATAAAATTTAGCCCAGTTTTGGATTTCAGCATTTGGCTCTTTCTGGAGAGGAAAAAAAGCCACAAATTGAAAAACTCCAGAACTAGAAAGCACTAATTTTTAATTGATGAAGCAATATTCTAATGGCTCTGACTGTGGCTCTGACGGTAATGCTTTACAGATAGCCAACAACTGTACTTAATCTCATTATGATGATGATGTTTGATGTTTTGTGGCGCAAGGGCCATTTCATGGCCAAAGAGCGCCAGCTCATGGTACTAAGGTTGTGGAGAATAATTGTGATAAGCGGCTGTAAAAGGGCCTTAAAATTCCTCGCACTAAGGCAGGTAAAAACATAGAAGTAATAAAATCATGACCATGCCGTGAAAAAATGTGTGGTGTTAATGGAAGATAAAAGTTTGTGATAATAAAAACCATGGTGGACATGTATGGCAGTAGCACAAGTGCCTCGATCGTTCACACCCTTGCGTCCAAGGGCAGTGAGGAAAGTGCTTTGTTCAGTGTAGCCACCGCAGCGGAGACCTCTCTGGAGAGGTCGTGCTATGGAATGCTCGGGTACATGACGTGAAAAGTACGAACGTCTCTCAAAAAAGCCAACAATGATTTATGTGTGAAAAGTGGTTTCCTACCGACGAACATTGCAGGATGAAGTGGTATCTGTTGTCGGTAGGGTAAAAAAGTGTTGTCTTCTCAGCGTGTCTAATTCTTTTCACTGGA